TTTGGGTGCCGGTTCCCTCGGACGTAGTTCCGTAAAATGGCAAGAAAATAGAAGTGTTGAATGATGTTTGTTATTGAAGTGTTGATATATGAGTTGTAGTCGCATTTTAAACTGTTTGGATAATATTGAACTATGTCAATGAATTGATTGGATAAATAATGGGAAATGGATTGATTATGATGTAAACGTTGATTGATTATGGAGATAATGTAAATGGTTTACTCATGTTAAACATTTATCGGATGCTAATGTTTTAATTAATTCTCATATACTGTTTAGCATATCTCTATTGGGCTTTGGCTCACCCTACTTGGGACACCATTTTTCAAGTACAGGTGATATGCCGCCTTCAAGGTCTTAGTTTAGGAGGTTTAGGAGTTAGCTTGATTGATTATGGAGGTTATTTATATTTTGTGTTAAATGTAAAACCAAGCAGAAGGCTTTTTATGTATAGAGTTAGAACTCTTCTTTTGTTGTAACCAAGTGATAACTTGGAAAGCTGTAAGCCCGTAAGACATTTACTTTGTTGATAACATGTAATATCTTTTGTAAAGAAGACTCTGATGAATGAAAATATAATGTTTTTTCTATGTTTATAGATTACCTGAATGGTTGTCTTGTATTGTATTTTGATGGCGTTACAATGTCTTTACACTTGGTGGGGCGGTTGTATCTTGGAAATCTTCCAAACAGACTTACATTGCTAGGTCTGTTATGGAATCAGAATTTATAACTTTAGATAAAGCTGGGGAAGCAGCAAAATGACTTCGTCACTTCCTTAAAGATATTTTAATGTGGCCAAAATCGGTGCCTGCTATATGCATACATTGCAATAGTCAATCACCAATAGGTAAAGCACAGAGTCATATGTATAACTGTAAGTCATGACACATTCGTCGTCGACGACATAACACCATGAGACAACTACTCTCTAATAGAATTATTTCCATTAAATATGTGAAGTCTAAAGACAACATAGCGGAATCACTAACCAAAGTGTTAGCAAGAGAGTTAGTTGAGAATTTATCGAGGGGAATGAGACTTAAGCCTATTAAATAAGAGTTACCACAACGGCAACCTAACCTAGTTGACTGGAGATCTCAAGATCTAGGTTCAAAGGGACAACCGAGTTGTGTATGACTCATAAGGATTACTGGAGAGTCAAACTCCTACCCATTTCTATGATGCTATAGTGATGTCTGCAGCGTTTTAGGTTAAGTAATATTTTTAATGATTCTTATATCTAGGAATACCTAATGGAATATAACATGATACTATTCATAAAAATCACCAATATAAGTGTGAATTGGGCCAGTTTTATGAGATTTGTGAAGGGTTGCAATTCTCTAGAGCACTCATGAAAGACCATGTTGTTCAGAGTCAAAATGAACACAATAGTGAGAACTAAACTGTGTCTGGTAAAATACTATGTGGGTTCTATTGTCTTGGTTTATACAAATGACTGAACAGTTTAAGACATCATGTTAACTGGTTAGCTAATAAATCCGATAGTGTCTCACAATGGAAGGTTCAAAGTCAAAAGCTACCTATCCTTTGCAGAATATTTCCAATTTCTGTACTTTCTGTAATTAGATCATGTTGTTGCATTTTCTCTCCATCAAATTCCATTCATGTGGGGGATTGTTGGAATTATGGTATTTATAAGCTTATTTTGAGCTAACTTTGAGTCCAAATTTGTATGGGACCCACACGTCTTTTGGGGTGGATCCAAGCAGTAACGTGTTTCTTGTCGCATAGCAAGTTACACGGTAAAAATGGTTCATCAAAACCATTTATGAGTGAATGGGAAGTTGACGTTGTTTTCAGGTTCGTGGAATGAACCATTAAATAAATAAAATGTAGGTTTCCTTGAAATGGTTATCCCACATTGAAAACTTAAGAGAACATATGTGTACGGGAAAGAAATAAACCTTCTTGTATAATCTTGTTGATCAAGTCTGCGTTCCTCCGTACGACGTCGTTTTACTCCCTGAAAACACAAACATGAGCTAGCTGGCGGGTGTGTGTCGGATACCTCTCCGATGTTAGTCAGCCAAATAGACAAATAGACAAAAAGCCCTGTGTATTCGGGAATCAAAGTTGTGTTATCCCTCCATAGGTGATGTTATGAGCTTTTTATAAGTTTCGTGTGGCACAATCCTAGTAGGACTCTTACTCCTCCATGTAGAGTCCTCCTAGGAATCACATTCCTGAAAGATAATGCTTATCCTTCAACACCTCCCTCACTGCTTAAACCAAGTGAGATGGTTTTACCATGATTGGATGTCAATACGACCGAGATAACATGGCCGCGCTAAAGCCGCAGACTAGACCGAGCTCCAACTAGCTCGGTTCTTCCTTTCACTGTGCGTATACCTCGGTTGATATATTCCAACTGGGTTGTCTGAAACCGTACTATCCACAATGAGCTTGGACCGAGCTATCTAACAGCAAGGTCCTAAGCAAAAGCCAACATACTTCGGCAGAATATGGTATGACCGAGCCAACTGTTACCGCTCTTTTGGACCGAACTAACTATCTTTACTCCTTCGGATCGGACTACCTGCAAGACTCTTCTGGACCGAACTAATTACAAGGCCTTTTTACTCAGCCCTTCTTACCGTGGCCCACAGAATGACCCATTTACCTAGCTCGGCCCAATTTATATATAAATTACCCTCTCAATATGTATATAAGTTCTAAGTGACAACACTTGAGTTAGGCCTCAAGGGACACCCCAAGTTTGTAGAAGAGGGGAGTTATAGACGAAATGGCTTTTGGTTCAAACCACTAAACGGGCACGTGCCACCGCTGTCCGATCGGCTGGCCAGACCGAGCCGTGTCGGGCGCACGATGTGGGTTGAATCCGTTCTAATATTAATTTTTTGGACAAAATTTATTTGAATTTTTTTCATAAACTCTTGCGGGAAATTAATTCAAATTTTGCATCAAATTTGAATTCAAATTTTCTGTCCAAACAAGTCTCTTCTAGTTCAAATTTTCAACATATTCAAACTATTTTTTTAATAGTTTTAAAACTGCTTAACAATTATGGATAGATTCAAACTGCCAGCAAATCTATTCAAAATTCAAACTGTATCTGTTCAGATTTATTGCACCTATTCAGTTCTTTTTCATACCCATTCGGATCTGTTCAAACTGCCACCAAGTTGCCTATAAATAGAGATCATTTCTAGTAGTTTTTCAGATTCAGAAAATTTATTATCTCCCGTTTTTGCACTCTATTTGCATTGTTCTTCATATTAGTTATTTAGGAAAAAATTATAAGTGTATAGAACACAGGTTTGGTTCGCCGTACAGATTTGTGTAGATTATTGTATCCTGAGAGATAAATGTCATTTAACCGTAAGAACAAGAGCGGAACAAATATATCTTAAGGATAGAGTGTCACACACTCGACTTGATCTTTTTGAACTTATTCGGTTTGATAAATAAATTCTGTAAGTAATTTATATTACTTTTATTATGTTTAATTTGTTTCAAGTTATTATTTTACACAACCAGATTGTTCAACCGAGCATGCCTAGCCCAAGTAACTGGCAGAAGTTTCCTATTTCATATTCTTGGAGAGAGGCTTCCTGGTCTTTGTCGTAACTCTCATGGAAATGAACATTAAAAAAATGTATTTGAAAAACCACCAATTTTGAATTCTATAAACACGCATATTTCCCATTAATTTATTCCTTTGTGTGGCTAAGTTAATCTACCATAAGGTCATTATAAAGCTGTTTTGCTAAGAAATCATCAAAACCTCACTCATGTATTCATAGATTTTCCAAATTTTCAACTCCACATTTTGAAATAACGTCACATTTCTTTAGATTATAGGTGGATTATGTGTTGGGGCTGCAATCAGTTCACATAGTAAATGGACCCGTTACTACTTTTACAGTAACTAACAAAGCACATTTTAATATTCAGATTTTCCAGCCATCAAATAAAACAAAAATTTTAGAAGAAGTGAATCGATTCAAAAGAGAGTAGCTCCACAAAACTCTCATCACTTCTAATCAAAACACTAGATTCATGTCTTCAAACTCCTCTTTTATCCCCTTCATGACCAAATGGGTCAAAAATCAAGTCACAGGACCAAAAATCGCGATAAAAATATCAAACACAAACTTATATAACTAGACCCTAGATGTCAGGCTAAAATTTGTCTAAAAGTGAAAATGAAAAAGAAGAAGAAAAAAAACCACACCATGGTTTTGGGGATCCGAGGATCCCGCCCAAGACCCTCAGATATTATACCAAGTAGAAACAACACACACAAAAAGGAGACAATAATTTTACGTAGTTTCGGCTCAAATGCCTACGTCCACGAGGGAAAACCATTTACACTAATGAATGGAGATGAAAGTGACAAAGAGATCTTGACCATAAACGGAGGGGAGACCTCTCACTACAACTTCACCCTCTCCTCACTGAGGGAGCTCCTCTCTGCCACTGAGGGACTCTCTGTTTTCTCTCTACATTTCCCACTGTTTTCTCACATCATTTCTTTGCTCTCTCTTCCTCTATTTAACACCGAGGAGAGAAGATAATTGGCCAGCACTATCCCGCAAATCACTCTAGATTCTGTATCGATTCAAGTGCTCCCGTGTTTGTAACCACCATTCCTGACTTCTTTATCCAAGCTCCCACTTGGTTCAACATGGGCAGAGAGAAAGAAGATCACCCCTCACATGGGGTGATAATCAACAAGCAACAACAGTAAACAAAAGCCAAAGACATTAAAAGGCAGCATGCATCAACTTCTAAATTTGCCGAAGTGAAACAGAGTGCAAAGCAAATGTCCAAGGACCTTTCAACAAAATGGGAGTGTCTCAAAGAAAATGATTGAGAAGAGAGAGCGCATAATTGCATAGGTATTTTATGAGTTCTAACTGAAAAGCAATAATAATTTTTGAAAAAATAAAAAAATAAAATCAAGCAAGCAAAATGACAAAGGAAAGACAACATCCCCAACATAACATCGACTGGCTCAGTAACCCTTGACAAGGTTCATCAAATCTACTACCAACCCATTTGTAAAGTCAGCTGTAAGCCGGCCTTTTTTGTCATCATTGCGAGGGGGGGGGGGGGGGGGGGGGGGGGGGGGGGGGGGAGGGGTGAAAATATTGATCAACATCAATTACAATATAAACCTTAAAAAAATTTTAGAAAAATAACACTAGGGCTGTGTGGGTGAGAGGTGGCGTTGGATTTGTCCAAGTGAAAACAAAAGGGGGAAGAAGGAAAAGTTAAAAAATGAAGTAAAAGCTTTTCTTATTTCCTCCCCATTTTTTCCATCATAAATTAAAAGATCCCCACAAGCATATGTGAAATTGAGGTGACTAAGAACAATTCAATTCAATTGTTAGCAAAAACAAGCACAACTATTTCTTCCT